AGGTCTACATGTTTTGCTTTTGTTGAATAGGATGTGTGGTGTTACATATGATGGTCTAACTCTCAAATAGCCCCTTTAACAATCAGCAAGGACTTTCATATTCTTGTGAGACCTAATGCCAACTTGGCACTGAAATTGGCACTAACCTTGGCAGAGGTATAGTCGTAACCAAAAGTTTTGAGAATGAAGTATTGGTTTTCTCAAAGTTTGCTGCTTCAGTGTTTGTAGATCTTTTTGTCCCCCAGGCTTGTGCCCTGTGACGGACCGGCATCCTGTCCGCGGTGTCCCAAGGCGTGTGCCCTGTGACAGACTGGTGTCCTATGCAGTGCGTCCCCAGGCTTGTGCCCTGTGACGGACCGGCATCCTGTCCGCGGTGTCCCAAGGCGTGTGCCCTGTGACAGACTGGTGTCCTATGCAGTGCGTCCCCAGGCTTGCGCCCTGTGCTTCCCTGATAGGCTCCAGGTCCCTGCCTGACCCTGACCTGGCTAGGCAGCTGGAATCTGAATGGGTGTTTACTGAACATACTCTAACCGAGTGCCTTTTTTAGAAGGATGAAGGAAGAGTCCCTCCTGGGACATAAAGCTGCAGGCTGTTGATTCTCATCATTTAACGACTGCACTGTCATCTGCCCAATTCTGACTGCTCATCATTCATGCCTGTCTGCCCTTCTCGCCTTACACTGAAACAGGAGAAACATAGTAACGTATACAAAAGCATGGTTTAAGACGTGATCAACAGCTGGGGTGGGGAGAAGATGAAGCGGGGGGCAGAGTGGGTCTGGGATGCTCGGGATTTTGTTTGTACCGTTCAGCACAGGATGTATCCTGTCACATTTAACCACAGTATCGTGATAGCTGAAGTCTTTGTTTTGAATTCTGCTTTGCTGCTATTGGTCCACCATTTGTCAGATGTTGTGTTACATCTTCTTGATAGGCAGGAAGTGACATGTGTCATTGTCTGGGCAATACAGTGATTCTCTAAAGGGTTATTTGGCAGGTACCTTGAAGTTGAGTCATTAATGCTGAAGGGGTGACATTAGTTTTCACATGAATGGTCCTATAGTCTTTAAAAACAAGAAAAACAAAAAACAACACACCAGTTTACAAGTTATAGCCCCTTTAGGAGCAGCAGTGTTGCCGACTGTCACACGGGGGTTTATGATGTGTTACCCATGATTCAGCTCAGCTTGCCACACAGGAGAACCAATCAGATGTCTCCTGACAGCTACATTGTGACAACAGAGAGCTATGCTGGCAGTGTGTGTCTTAAGAGTATCAGGAGAGCAAGACCATTCAAGAACGAGGCCCAGTGATACTCTGCAGGTAACTGTAGCGGCAATATGTTAGCCACTGGGTGCTAAAAGGATCAGTTGCAACTGTTGTCTATTTGAATGAAAATATTTTCACTGGGCCTTACACTGGTTCCTTCGGATTTGCTGCTGAGTTTTTACTGGGCTGATCCAATGCATTTGGCTGGTGACTTCAGGTGTGTCCCAGCAAACCTCACACCCCCCGTACCACAATCACTCCACAACAAACCCCTATCAGCTCCGCTCCACTGCCTCGTACTTCCTCCACACTGGCCCGGATAGGTCCTCTGTGATGCGTCGGCAGACTTCCCGGGCGAGGTGCCGGTGGCTGGAAGCCAGGCTGGGCCACTCGCCCGCCGGGTCGCCAGGAGTCATGGCCACATCATGCATGTGGAAAGGAGACGCAGGCGAGCCACGGAGATGCTCCTCTCTTAGGCACCTCCCCTCGACTGGGAGCTCAACCCGGCTCTGAGGAAAAAGGATATTGATACAGAAAAAAGATCTATTTGTGGGCCTCGTCCTCAGATGTTCGTCTGAATATGGAAATATGTCTGGGATGTGTCGAATAGCCTTTTAGAACACACAAACAGTACAGAGGTCCACTCTGTGGGGACCTGACATTTGCTCATGCGTTTCTTTGAGGGCTTGCCATACTGCCAGTGAAATGCCACAAGCCATTGTGAATGAAACGTTCAGCCTTTCAAAGTGCAATGTGTTTGGTTAATTCTCAGAAATCTGTGTTCAGATGCTCTGGGACACACATTCTTTGTGGCACGGGGGGCTGGTTGTACTCAAAGGCCACACAGACACTCACATGTACTGATACATCCTCTGATTTCCAAGCAACTCGCCTCATGTGGTTCCAGTACTTGGTTTCTAAACATGTCTGATGATCCCAGAGTTCAGTTAAATAAGTTATTTTCACATTGAACATTAACTTATTTTTTACTTGCGTCTTTTAAAAACAGACCTTATTTTGCTCCTGTATAGTGATTCTCTTTCTTTTTGTCCCAGAAGGGAACCTGAATTTTAGGGCATGCATGTGAATTTCATGATGCTGACATTTCAAGGCATTGAAGAGCTCCGTACTGTGTGAGAGGCTTGGTGGCTGGTGCGAGGGGCAACAGGCGACAATATTCCAGGGTGACAGTGAGGGGGAGGCTTACTGCATGCTAGTCTCACTGTCTGCTTTAACCCACCTGCCACGGTTTCCTCCATCAGGGTCTGACACTGTAGGTGGATGAAGCCGCTGGTGTAAACGGCACATCACACGGTAAACGGATGTGTAGGTCAATTATATGGATTTCTTCTACATCTATACAGAATGTATGTGTATGACATAAATGAATCTACATGTCAGGCATTTTCAGCATTACAGCCAATGAAATATAAAACATAAACAAACATGCCTGAGGACAGAGGATGTGTCACAGTGTTAACTTGGCATGGCTAAACTGCAGCAAGACAGCTAAATGTTCTGATTGTTTCCCACTAAAATGGGTTGAATTGTAGACTTGAGGTCTGCGTCTGGGCTCATTTTCTATTCAGAATTACACCCAGGACTGGCGTGTGCAATAAATGTAAATCAGCAAATGAAAAGAAATCATTTAGCCATTTCTAAAGGGCAAGTGGGACCCCGTCATAATTTACAAAGTGCAATATCTAGTTTAACCACAGTCTAATTAGGTGGCATCAATAATTATGAACAGTCCTAGAATGACTGAGGCCACCAGAATAAAGGTGAAGGCAATAAAGGACAGGCACTCCTCGTATCTTAATCGTCAGAGGCAGTTTCATTCAGGCACCTAGTGTGATTGAAAATCATAATTGAGCTGAAGTTAAATTGATATATGAAGCAACCCCCCATTTGTGAGCTTAATCCCATCCATCCTGCATAATGGCTTCAGCAGAGAGTTTCAGTGAGCTTATCACAGGGTGCACGCTCTGCCGGCTATTTTAAGGAAGCAGCTCCCCTAACTGCCTGTTTTTGGGTGGCAGGAGGCAACCGGAGGAGCTGGGGGAATCTCACGTGAATCAGAGGAAAACAGCCCATCCCCACACACAAGGCCAAGACACAGGCCGAGCGCCAGAGGTGTGCGGTCAGAGTTGGGCTGATCAGGGTGTCGGGGGGGCACTATGTGCTGCTTCAGGCTTTACAAACTCCTCTAAAACTGAAAGGCTCCTGTGCTCGGCTGATTAGTTCAGCTCTTCTTGCCTTGACTGGTTTGTTTCCTTGATTGAAAGACTCATCCAGCTGTTTCACATTAATGTTAGTGAGACATGTATGATTATAGGAGACTGACCAATCAGCACACAGCAAGAACTTAGAGTTTAAGTGACGTCCGGGTCTTTTTACTCGAAATGGTTGAAATGATTTACAAACCCTGTCCTGGTTCATCGTCCCTCCCCCCCCGACAGGGAGTAGGTGGTCACCCTGGCCACAATGCCTCCCAATTTAATTACAAGCAAATTATGTTATCCAAGATTTACCCAGCCATTCTGCAGATGATTTGCCAAACTGATGTTTATGTATCCAGACAAATATGTTAGCATAGTAGGTGCAAGTCCCCAGATGGTTGGAGAACCCGACCAGGATCCCCACACCGTGGGGCTCTCCTTCCAGGAGCTGCAATGTGTGGCTTACTGTGAAGAATAATGAAATAATGACATACCAAAGAGAGCAGAAATAGCTCGCTTGGAAATCGGGGTCCATCTGAATTGGCTCATCCGAGTTTCCATGCATAAAATGGGAGGGGTCATTTCAGATATGGGTTTTATTTCTTTGCCTTTTACCTTTTTCGGGATTGTTTATTAGATTCTCATTTGTCCAAATATCCATAAGTAATGGAGACAAGAGAAGCTTTTTCCTTTCATTTTCTTTGCCTTTGAGTAACCCTGGTTACTGTGTCCCATTCATTAGTCTAGTTGACTATGGGATATATGTTAAATAAATAATTGAACTTATATAGCTCATATGACACAGATAGAACTCTTAATATAACTAAATAGATAAATTCATATTGTTTCTTATGACATGAATAATTTGGATAGGATGAAAATATTAAATATGGCAATAAATAAAGAATAAACACACACATATGTATTCACATTCTCATGAAAGGGCTTTTCATTTTATAAAAAAGGGGAAAATGACTAATGTACTTTTCCCGACTGTGATAGAGACTAGTGATGCGCGGGTCGGGTATTTTTCCAACCCGCGGGTCCCGCTTTTATGAAATTATTTGGCCCGCCCCAGCCCGCCCCGCAAATAAAGTGACAATTTCTTTACCCGCCCCAACCCGACCCGCGGGGTCCGCGGGTTACGAGACGACCCGCGCATCACTACTGCTTGGCGCTTTCGTGACTTGTCACGTGACGTAACCTTATCAAAGAACTTAATAAAATATGAAAATAGATATTCCCAAATATTTAATATAGGCTATAGGGAATTGCACGCAACATACATGGATTTTTTATTTAATTTTGTTTTTAATGACCCGCCCCAACCCGCCCCGCAAATAAAGTAACAATTTCTTTACCCGCCCCAACCCGACCCGCGGGTTACCCGCGGGGTCCGCGGGTTACGAGACGACCCGCGCATCACTAATAGAGACGTCGGTGATATGGAGTTCATATGCTCGCGCTGATCCAATCAGAAGTCGTCAGTGACGTTGCACAGTTAGCGCGGGTTTTTTTTTTGAGGCGGCTGCTTGCTGAAGTTTGCGGCGGATTTGGCACTTGAAAATTCGGCGTTTTTCTTTCTTTGTGCTGCTATTGTAAGTGCCAACAGAACGAAATTTATTTTGGTCGATTGATTGCGCGAAGATTTCGTGTAATGAGCCTGGAAGAGTTTGGTTGGAACCTGGACTGGCGTGAGCTGTGATCATCGTAGTAACCGGGTATGTGTGTACAAGACTTTAATCTCTGGCGGGTCTTTTCTTTTGTATGGTTTCCCGTCTTCTGTGAAGCCCGAAGTCTGCACATGGACTCTTCCGCTGTGATCACTTTAGTTCTTCAGAGGTGCAGGTAGATCTCAGTGGTTGTGGCGAGCCAACCTAACTGGAGATAAGAACTGTGTTGTTATCAATTTGGGTGATATATGTATATTTCATGTATTGAAGGACATTTTATTTATTTCTTTTGTTTGTTTGTTTTTTCTGTTAATACAACATATGTAAAATTTACCTGTAGTTTGTCTGCGTTCTTACTCTTCCGCTCAATGCAAATTTTGATGCTCCTTTCTCCAGTGGCGAATCTAAACTTTAGATGTGCTGCTCCAGGGAGTAAACACATAGTACTGTAGTATAGGTGCTTGTATGCTCTAGTAATCACTATTAATAGTGAGAGCTGAGGTGGGCTACATTTGACTTACGACATGTTGCTCTGCTGGCATCCTTGTGGCGTTGCATAATTTGTTTCTCGCGTGTGTATCTATTGGCCTTCACCCACCAAATGTCTCAGTCAACACATTAATATTGACTTAATAGGTTAGCCTATTACTCTTTTTATTTAATAAATATGTCTGCCATAACTAAAAGTGTTGTGTTAATGTTTAATGTGCAAGAATTTAGCAATGAAATGCTAATTATTACACAATGAGACAGCAAGTGTAAAGGGGAGGGGGTTAGGGTGACTCTCTGGGCCTTGGAGTGATCGGGGCCCTAAACAATTTGGAACATAGTTGGATTGGTCTGGGTTGGGGGCCCAATATGATATGTTGTCACGGGGCCCAAAATCGGCAGTGGCCCCCCTGCCCAGCGGCGTCAAAACATTGCGCCATTCCACAAATGAGTATAGAGACTCTGAGGGCAGCTTCCTCATCGCGTGCTTGGCTTTCCTGCGACACAAGAAGGGAGCGGAAAGGATGATGATGTCTATTTTAGACCCATGCAGTGAGCCCACGGTTCCTGAACACGACTGCAGCCCCCTCGCCGCGTGACACCCCAGGTTAATTAGGAACATATTCACCTGTCTGTAGGGACGCTTGGCTGTCAGCCAGAAATAGACCCTGCCTCTTTGATGATTGCTTTCTCTTAAAGAATGCGATAAACCCCCCAAAAATGAATAAAATCGCCATGCTGTGAATACAGTGACTTTGGCAGCATCTCTACACAAACATGTGGACATAGCAGATAAGGCAGCGTTGTCTCTGTTCAGATTGGCACAGGAAGGACCAGATCCCACCAGGGCGGCATGCAGGAAGCCAGGCACCGCCACTGACTCCGGGCGGCGTATTCTGCATGAGCACCTTGCAATTGGTCCGGCGTGGCCAGCATTACCAAGGAAAACCACAGGGGGAGTCACTCAGCAGTGTGGAAGAATGGACAGAAGACGAGGTAGCCATTGTGGTTCATAATCTGCTTAGCATAGCATAATCATAGCAGCAGTCTTAGTACTGAGAAGGAGCACTGAGTCTATGCCAATGATCTAAAATGCACCAATTACAATACATATGGCAGCATTTACATTAGTGCCTAAAGGCCATGTTTTTAAGAATGCTAAATTACATGGTACATTTTGAGAAAGTGTTTCATGAAACCAAAATGATAGTTAAATCCTTAAAAGGCATTTTAATTTTCACAGTGATCTAATTCAATTAGGCAAAAACGTATCAGGCAGGATTTTCCCAACTGGCCCTGTAGTTTCATTGAAGCTAGTAATGAGGGACCAGGCTAGGAGTGCCAGGATGTTTCAGCTGGCCCGGGTATCTCTGGGCCGTCAGCTGGCACGCCAGCCACTGCGCACTGGACAGCACTGCGGGGACCTAAAGGGGCGGAGTTCCCGGCTGTTTGGCCGGTGGTACCGGACCCACAGCTCTGGGGTGGGGGGGTCGAAGGTGCAGACTATACAAGCAGCACACGCTGCAGTTCAGTTTTGTGTTATGAGTCACCAAAATATGTACCTCAGCTAGATAATGGTTCATTCTGGAAGAATATTATTTGGTTAAAGGAGGTTGTATGAAGCATATATAACAACATTTAGAAGAAAGGTACACTGCAAATACGCGCATTTTATTTATATATATATATATATATAGATATATATATATATATATATATAGATATAGATATAGATAGATAGATAGATAGATCTATATGCATTTTGGTGTCGGGAGTAAAGACAATTTTAATTATCTTACAGCTATATGGCCTGTAAACCTCTTGCTCACGACAAACTATTTGAATGGTGAAATCGTGCCCCCTACTGGTGATGTATGACACAGTGGCTTTGGGTGCTGTAGAAGCTGTAGCAGATGTTTCGCTTCATTCAAGAACCACTTTGCAGAAGCATCTCCCTCAGGGCTTCATCTGAGCCAGAGCACATCGGGTATCAAACCTGGCACCTATTCAGGGTTCAGCAAGGAGTCTAGTCTCTCACATTTACGTTTAAATTTCATTATTTTCCCCATTGATTTTTCTTGTCATGGTCCTCAGATAAAAAACGTCATGGCATGTTGATGTTTAATGAATTTCTTTATCAGATAGTTGTTAAGGATAGTTACCTAACAATTGCTTACTTAAATTGCTCCAGATCTCCTGTAGTCCAAAGATTTGCAGGTAGGCAGGTTGGGGTGCACTGCCTATAGGGTGTCCTTATGTGTCTGATCTGCAGGTTGGCAGGTTGGGGTGCACCGCCTATAGGGTGTCCTTATGTGTGTCTGATCTGCAGGTAGGCAGGTTGGGGTGCACCGCCTATAGGGTGTCCTTATGTGTCTGCAAGCTGCCCTGGGGCGTTTATAATTGGTATATTATATATATATATATTTTATTCTGTACTGGATAAGCAGTTACAGAAGATGGATGAAGGAATGTGGTGTAACAAGGTAATAAAACAATTACAAACAGACTGCGAGTACATATGTGTGCAGACTTGTCTCAAATTGAAAATCTCACTCCATCCATCTGACCAAAGTGCGCAACCCTGGTTTTATACACAATAGAATCGATACTATTAACAACACTACTGACAGGCAAAAGTACCAGCAGATTCCAACCAGCCACTAGACATCAGTACCAGGCGAATGGGTGTTTTCAGCAGCTGAACTCACAGTAAACAGACTGCGCACACACCTCATACCAGACTGAGTAGATATGTTGGTCTTTTAAATTAACAAAGGGTATAACTAGGTTAACCTTTTTCTTTGTAGTGGCTTTAGAAAGTTACAGTTCAGACAATTTAACACCCATTATGTTTCACCCATATGATTTTATATCAAAGCTTTATGGCATAAATATCAAGGTAATCTTAGTAAGATGCAAGCTGATTGGCAAATTACCCACACAAACACTATCACTGTTAGTATGCTTTAAAGTTGAATGGAAGACGCGGAAAAAGTCCTTTACTGAGGAATGTACTATTTGCGTATTCAGGGTTGTGTGTATGTCATTTGGGGGAAGTAATGAATAATCAATTAATTGTTCATTAATGACTGTAGATTGAGAAAGTCCGTTTAAATTTGCAACCGTAGTGCATGTAGACAGTTCAGATATCAGGCTTGCAATAAGTTGAATCCCACCATTGGATAATAGTGATTCTAGGCTGCATGGTTGCCCTCTGCCCTGGCTCGCTGTGTGTGGAGTTTGCATGCACTGCCCATGTCATTGTGGGGTTTCCTCCCAGTCAGAAAATATGCACAGGTGATTTAGAGTTGCCACATAGTCTGTGTGGGCCTTGTGATGGGTTGGCCCTCCATCTGCGCCCATAGCTTCCATGATAGGCCCTGGACTAGTGATGCGCGGGTCGTCTCGTAACCCGCGGACCCCGCGAGTGACCCGCGGGTCGGGTTGGGGCGGGTAAAGAAATTGTTAC